AATTAAAAATGTATTTTCAACTAAATTAGCGGCTAGTTTACAAAATAACCAAGGATCTTTGCTAATTTACTTGAAATTATTGGGGAAACTAAAATAGCTGGATAGTTTGTATACTATCCAATTCAATTTGGATAATATGAAAACCAAAATTTCTAGTAACACAAAATAGCCAAGCTTTAGCTAGTTTGTAAACTAACCAACTAATTCTCTGGCTAATTTTGTATCATTTCATTAATCGAAAAAAAATTTTCATCGTTGGCTATTCTAAACGTAGAAAGCGATATTCTAGATAAATTACAAATAAATGGTATCATAGATAAGTTTTCGGAAATGAAAATACGTAAAAAAAATTAATTAGTTGTTTATTTTTATTAATTATTATTTATTTTGTTCGCTGTTCCTTAGAAGCTGTTTTTTTTTATTTTTTTGTTGTGTTATTAATTTCAGTTAGAAATTTTGTTTATGTATCGTTTAAATATATTTTTAGTTGTTTGTACCTACTAAATAATTAATAATGTATGTTTTTTTTAAATAAATATTTATTTATTTTTTTAGATTTATTATTAGAACAATTTTTTAATTGATTAATTAAAAATTAAATTTTTTTATCATAAACCTGAAGGTGTCAAAGTTATATAGGATATTGATATGGGGGGCGAAGTTTTGCTTGGGCCTTGGGGCCCCACTAAGTCAAAAATAGGCCCTGCAACTGTCCTATCCGTTACGCGTGGAATGGCCGTTAATTAAATCAAGAAAAACAGCAAAAAAGTATTAAAATCGTAAAATACTTTTGACAGTTCTATGTAAACATAAATTGATATTTATAAGCAACCAATGAAACTACTTAAATTTGCTAAAACAGTTTTATTTCAAAAAAGTCACTGTTGCTAGAGGCTAAAAAAATTGATGGGTCATCAAATTTGACGGCCCATAAAATTATACAATTGTTTCGATACAAGGTCATATGACAATCAAAAAATGTCAAATAAAATTTATTTCAAAGGGCACAATAAAATTAATTATTTGGCATTTTATAAATGAATATCGAAAATGGTGGACATTTTGGATTAGAAATGCCATAAACACCACCAGACATATTTACAAGGTAAACACCCGGTACCACACAACTCAAAAAGGTATAAAAAAGCTATCCCATATAGTCCCACCATCCCTTCATCAAATCCCACGAAGAATATTTTATTGCTTTATGCTCCAGGACTATATGGAAAATTCTCCATTTAAAGATTCTATGACGGTATGACCAAACCTATTGAATATTTTTTAATAAAACTTTAAAAAAAACATAGCCTAATTAAGTACCCGCCTACCCACTTAAAAAAATAACAATGTTTTAATGTTCAACTTATACAAATAAAAAACAAGGTACCTACCTACCTACCTACATTTTAAAATTACTTATACGTTTTTCATCTTTATTTTCTATTTATAACAAAAACTTTGGTATAATAAAGTACGATGAACAAAATTTGCCGATGATCCTCTGTACCTAACTGTTCAAATAGTCCAATATTTTATCAACTAATCTATCAAAATCTATCAAAATTATTATTGTTAATAATTAGGTTGATCTTAAACTAATTACCTACTGTTGTGGATATCTTATTGTTAGTCATCCAGGTAAAAGGTAGGTACCTATAACAGCAGAAATGATTTAATAATGCGCTACTGGAGACGCGAAGCAGGAATAACACGGTTTAATGGTTGAGTAGGTCAGGAACACCGGGAAATTCGTGCCGCATCTCCTTCGAATTTTACGCCATCATTCGTAGATTATTAACTTGTGCGATTCCTTGTAAATTTTGGTGTGTTTTTGTGGCCGAAAAAGTGGCTGAAGAAATAAGGTTAAGAGTTTTTATCGACAATGCTCCAAATAAATGTCTAATAATAAACTGTATATTCGAGCGCTGCTTGTATACCTTTCAGCGTTCAAAATAAAGTGTCCTTGTAACCTTACTTTCGCTTTATTTTAAATAAACTTTGTCTTTATTAATACCAATTTAATGTCAAAATCAATGGTATTTAATTTAGGAATGGGAGCTTTTTTGCAGGAACGAGTTTCTAAACTTCTAAACTAGGTGCGTGAATACTTTTAGAAGTAACTTACAAAAGCCGATTTTGGCTAAATAACCTTATAGAATGTTGTTGAAAAGTTGGAAAAACTTACCGAAAAAGAATTGCTTGCGAAATGGACAAACGGCAAACCCACTTTCTATATTACACTTTCCACCAAATAGCTGGAAACACTTCTTACACAATTTAACACACAAAACTACTTGTAGCATATTTCATTGCACTAAACATGTAAGCAAAATATCGGCGGTATCGACGGCAAATGTATTTTAAATGTTCCGAGTTACTTACGAAAACATCGTCCGTACACACAAATGACAGAAGAGTTCGTTTACAACCACGGAAGACAGTCAGCTGCGAACTGCCAAAGCAAAGAAACTTCTAGTCGGTGACCCAACATCGATCCCGACTTCTCACGAGCTGGCACGAACCACCTTATAACGTGACGTCATAATAATAATCCGGTTTTGTTCCCCGAACATACAATCTTTGTTGTCAAGATAGATAGCTTAGATGGTAGGGCGTTTGCTTTGCATGCGAGAGGTCCCGGGTTCGATACTCAGAATTTTTTTTACTTTTTTATTTCATAAATTTGTTGTTCCTTTGTTAAAAAGTGTTTTATTTTTATCGTAACATAAATTTGCCCATTTTAGTTGGGTTTTTTGCTCAATGGGGCGGGGGGGGGGCCAATGGGGCGGGGTCGGTTGGGTTGTGTTGTTGAGTTTGGGTTGGTTTGGTTTTATTACGTAACTAACGTGCCCTTAACATGTATACAGGTACAATTTATTATTATATTATTGTTGTGCCGTCAATTTTAAATGATAATGATGCATTAATAATAATAATATATAATAAATTCTTTGTCCAGTCGGGATCGATGTTGGGGCACCGGCTAGAAGTTAGTCCAAAGCAATAACTTTGTTGTGTACCTACGTCACACGCGATCCGCGTGTCGATTAAAAATTAAGCCGGTAGATGGAGCCACTCATATTACCTTTTACAATTTCAATCAATAATTCACGATGATTCATAACTTTTGTGCGGATTCCTAACGCGTTTTACGCGTTTTAGGCGTTTTTACGTAATTTTATTAAGTAAATAAATTTACCAAAATTAAATATAATGAATATTTCCTGGAATTGTGAAAAAAAATCTGTTTGACGGTCAAACTTTGACCTGTAAACAATGTTTACTAAACATACACATTAATACATTGTCATCCAATTGGATTAATTTATTTCCTACTACATTTTGAGTTATCACCAGTGGCGTAACCACAGGGTGGCAGAACGGGCAAAATGCCACGGGCCCCCAGCCTAAGGGACCCCTGACCGAAGAACGCGAGCACAGTAGGGCATAATCAACATTAAACTTCTTTAAATTGAGGGGGCCCCATGTGATAAATTTTCGCCACTGGTTAATAATAATAATAATAATAATAATAAGCTTTATTCGTTTCATAATTATAATTAAACTTTAATTATTAAAGTACATTCCTTGATATTCTAACCATGGTAAACCAATATGGCCATAGAAAATACAACAGTACCAAGTTATTATTATTATTATTATGATTATTATTATTATTATTATTATTATTATTATTATTATTATTATTATTATTATTATTATTATTATTATTATTATTATTATTATTATTATTATTATTATTATTATTATTATTATTATTATTATTATTATTATTATTATTATTATTATTATTATTATTATTATTATTATTATTATTATTATTATTATTATTATTATTATTATTATTATTATTATTATTATTATTATTATTATTATTATTATTATTATTATTATTATTATTATTATTACGTAACTCATTTTTTTTCTATTTTAGACCTCGAAACATACCGTTACATTTCGCTTAGATTAGATAAGTACAACAAATACACATTTTAGTAGCGATTAACGTGAAAAGTGTAAATATTTCAATTTAGTAAAAATCGTCAAACAAATAAGTCGTCTAAATTTAAACAACATTTAGCATTATTAAAAGCATTGATTAAGAAAGTAGTACCCTCAACGGTAGAATACCATTATATTATGAATTATATATAATATTATGTTGCCATGTATTCGTAGGTATATTTTGTTTTTTAAAATGCAGTTGTCGGCGTTTTTCTAGAGGACTTAGATAAAAAAATGTTGGATTTTAAGGTTATGTTTGTGCAACAATTATTTTTATCTAATTTCTTAAAAATGTCCAAAATTTTGTATAAAATAAATAAGACAATTGATTAAAGGAACTTGATGATTATAATCTATAATCATTTCGTAATTACTGTTAAGCTTGCCAAAAAACGGGAGTTTACGGGAGATTTTTAAGGAAGTCGGAAGCTGGAAGACGTAGTTTAAAATCGGGAGGTTTGCTGTATACAGTATACAGGTTTATAAACCCGCCTAAATCTGGACTCCAGATTCTGGAGGGCTGGCAGCCCTACCTACCACCCCTTTGATTGTGTTACCATTTAGATCCCAACACCCTGTATTTTTAAATCAATATGAATCAATTTTACTTAAAGAGTTCTAATATGGATAAGTTTCTATCGGAAGTAATAAACCAATCGGCGTTATCGGTCGCAATCTATTGTGCAGTGAAGAATACCACGGTATCTAATTGTTTCATTACTTCCGATTTAAACGTTGGCTAGAACGCGATTACAGCGCCACCTACCGGGTCTAATTGTGAATCTGAACCATTCAGAGACCCTCAAACAAAATTTCATCAAAATACAATGCATAGTGCAAACGTAAAGAAGAATTATATAAATATTATAAAGATATTTAAAAGGATAAAGTTGCAAATCTCAAAAAACACCACCTTGTGTTGAGGTTTAAAAAATAACAAACAAAAAGATTTTAAGAAAAACAAAAATCTAAAACGGTAACTATATTTACTTAATTACACTTAATATTACTAATGCAATTAACTATAAATTCCAGTTGCACTTAAATAAATCGATGACCCGCTCGAAACAAGGACAATTAAAACAAGCGATTGGTTCTTCATTTGACTGTGGAGAGGACGCACGAGCTTCAGAAACAGCCTGGGTTGGTAAACTGTTGTTTTGAGGTAAGGCGTCAGTTCGGGGATGGCGGCATTCCACTGATCTGTTGTCCAAATCCGTCGCAGCAGACTGGCAATCGGTAAATCTCATGTCCTGCTGGTGAATGGTCGTTTTCATCAACAATTTTGGTTCTGATTTGACAACTTTATTTGAACTAATAGAGTTATCGCGATTTTTGTGCGAACTAAGCTCACTTTGAATCGCTTCTACATAGCTTACTTCTTCTGATAAGTAACCAACGTGTTTCGTTACGTTGGTTATAGCAGGAAAGTTGCAGTTGGTTGATGTTTTTTTCGGCACATCCAAACCTACACTTAGCTCCAGTTCACTTATTGGTTTAACTGTTTTTTGCTTTTCAAATTTTTCAGGGTACACCTTATTTTTAACCAAAAATGGTTTGTCCTCCAGTGGAATTGTAGAATAATCGACGGTGGTACCTGAATTTCCTTCATTATATGCTGACTGTTTCACTTTTTTTTTCGTTGGAGTCGGAACTACCTTTTTACGAGATGATTGTAAATGTTTATTTTTGACTTCAAATGTTTTATCCTCGTCTTGCAAAGTTGTTGTTTTAATTACTACTTGGCTTTTATCAATATTAACTTCATCCAAAACAGTATTAGGAGCCGTACGATGCAGCTGACAACTTAACTTGGTTACCGTAGAGTTATCCATAGTGGAACTAGAACTTTCTGAGTTATATTGATTCTGATTTAAATATATATTCTCCAACCTAAAATCGACATCATCGCTATACGCTGACTTTTTTATAATGTTTTTAGTTGAATGCACGGGAGCTGAAGTCAAAACTTTCTTTTTACAATCCCTTTTACATGATGATTCTAAAGGTAGAAAAGCTTGCGTGTGGATGGAATTGCAAACACCAGGGGGTACTTTACAGTCCTGTGAATGTTTGATTTTTTGAAAAATCGTAGTTTTTTCTGGAACATAATCTTTTTTGTTAGTTTGAAAGAGGTTTTTAGTTTTTTCAAGATTTTTCATTAAGAAACTTGTTCGTTGATTTAAACTTTCACCTTTTTGTAAATATGACCCCTGTGAAGGTTTGGATTCCTTTTTTATAAATGCTTTAGATTTTAATTTATTTAATGAGAGTTCATATTTGTTTAACACTGGTGGTTTTGAAGTTTTAGCTTGATCTGCTGTTTTTCTATTTTTGATATATTTTTCGGGAGACTTTTCAAAGATTTTTCTTTTATCAGGGGATTCTTCGTTCTCAGGTGTTTTCTCATACGTCCTCATGGGTATTTTAGTTCCATGTACATTGCATAGATAATTTGAATTTTCATGAGATTTATTTCTCTCTCTATCCAAAAATTCCCTGGTGCTACTTTTAATCAAAGATTTTTTGCTTGTTAACATCATGCTTGTTTTACTTTTATTTGTCATTAATTCTTGTTTTGCAGCAACTCTAGGAGAATGTTCTCTTATGCAAACTTTTTTTTTTGGTGGATCATAATCTATTTGGAGTTCTTTGGCGTGCATTGTTGATGGTCCAGGTTTTTCAAGAAATGAATGTGAATTTTCTTTTATTCTTTGTGCAATGGTGCTAAGGTTTTCATTAAGTTTTTGCGAGTATAAATTGGAAATAATTGATTGTTTTTCGTTGTATATAGATTCTGAATCACTAGAGGTAGTGTAGTGTTCTTTGGCCTGTCTGTATTTTCGGTTTTTTGATTTGTCACGTGAAACGTTGCTACATTTTTCTTTTTCGGAGGAAGAATCCTTTGCTTCGGAAGATTCTTTTTCCGAATCGTTTTGTTTATCAATATTATTTTTAATAGGACTGTCAGTGATTTCGGTGATAACACACCCGGCCCTCGAAGGTTCAGCTTCTTCGTCAGTTAACTCAATCATGTTCAACTTTTTTCTAATGGCGTTTAATTTTATTAAATAATCATTATCAATGTTGTACAATTCGTCATCCAAATCGTTATCAAGGGAACTCTTTGTCGATTCACTCATTCTCGAGTTAAAAAGAAAGTAAAAATAATCAGTTTCTGTTTCGTGTGCGTCACCAAATGGCCCAAGTAAATCGCGTCTGGCTCTTTCTGTAGCAAGTTTAATTTTCTTAAGGTCTTTTTCAAACACCCATGTATCAGAGTCACCTTCACTCTTTGTAGAGTTTGGTCGATTTTGATTATTTTTGGACATGTTGAAGGACACTAGGAGCCTGACATTACGAAATGACAGTTGTCATTTTTTATTTTGCATTGTTAGATGACACTGAAACAAGGTGGTACTTACCTAGAATGCCTAGGATTTTACACCTGTAAATATAATTTTTTCATTTAAACTTTTACATGTTTAATTATTATAGAAAAACTGTATTAAATAAACCCTCTTTATTCCTACTTAGGACAGTATTTAAAACCCAAAAATTCTAACAGTTAAATTTGTAATAATTTAAGTTTGTGAAGGTTTTGATGTATCGTATACAGCATGCGAAGTTTAAATTATCTGAATTGCGAGTCTCTGCTGGAAACTAATTCTCCATAGAGAGTCAAAATTCAACGAAGTTTATATAAATTGCATAACTAAAAGGGAATATTAAAACATAACTTGACCCAAAACACTGCCAAACACACGAACAGTTTTCGGGACCCGATATTGGGCTACATAATTAAATTATGACACAACGAGCAATAAATACACATCACTGATGTTTGTATGCACAAAGCATTGCTAAGATTTGGTGGCCCAACAGTTTTGTACCATCTGGCAACAAAACATTTGGAATAAAGCGGAGTAATGATTACATTAGTAAAGATTTATTTAAGTGTATTAATAGTATTAGTTACTGCATTCTAAAAAAAATTGATTTATACTTTAAAAACTTTAAATTTTAAAGTGAAATAAATTTAATTAATTTTAATTTCATTTGCAATTGCTGGATACAATTGAATTCATGCATTAAATAATGATTTAAATATTTTTTAACAGTTGTAATTTCATTGGTCACTTTAGATAATATAGGTGTTTTAACTTAATTATAATTAGTCCTGTACTGTTTGTGTCAAAACTCAACCTCTGGTTGATATGCACAAATACTACTATATAGCATTCGTTTTGAATTATTAGCAAAATATTATATTTTAGCAGTTCTCTGAATAACAGGGTACCGTAAATACGGGTGACTTTGCACCCCGCGTTTGACTTTAACCCATTTATGAAAAATCTTTTCGCGCTCGATAAAATTAACATTTATAATTTGTTGGTCTAAACCTGTCAATTGAGCGATTCTATTGAGTTTATATTACAGGAAAATCAGTGTTTTAAAGAAAGAAATGGGATTTATTACACTTTAAAATTGTATATATCGTATCAGTGCAAAACTCTTAGAAATACACGCGTTACAATTTCTATATTATGCGCAATCCATTGGAATGATGATCCTTGGTTAACTACAGGTCGATTTTTTATTTTTTTTATTGGTAATCCCTTGCAATAGATATATGTCGCTGCTAACACGTGTCTAATAAAAATAAAATATAATATTACATTCATTTTATACTAAAAAAACACTGTGAGACAAAGTAACCCGCAACCAGGGGGTAACTTACACCCAGTTTTTAATGTTTATTTTTGAAACTCAGCCCTATGTAATATTATAACATAGTTATTATGAAAGAGCAACTCAAGACTCAAATTTTGGTATACAAAATTTAATGTTTATGATTGTTAAAACCACAAAAATTTTAAGCTGAAGTTTGAAAGTGAGCCAAAGCCACCCGTGTTTACGGTATTCAATTTTAAAAGTAATAACTTTCCAAATCTTTACAATGTAACTAGTGGCGGATTCAAGAAGAAGTAGGCCTCGGTTCAAATCCTACTTGTGGCCACTGTACCTACCTTTGCCTTCAAGAAAAACTTTTCCTTTTTAAAATTACTTTACAGAAAAAATAATGGAAAATATTTATTTTTTTAAATTTAGAAAATAGAAAAACTCTCATAAGTATGTACGCAATCGCTGCTTACTTGAAGATCTCATACGATTCTAATTGTGAGAAGGTTGGAAAAAACGGTTAGAATAATTTGTAAAAAAAGCCGCAGTTAGAAGTTTCTTAGAAAGGTTTAGAAATCCTCAACATGTGCGAAATAAGTAAATTTTAAATAATGTCAAACGGGATCTATTTAAAGAAAAATCAAATAGAGGCCATAAAGGACTTTACAGCCGGATTTATCCTGTTCCCCAAGGCAGCCAAACATTTTTGTTCCAAGGACTACCATGTGGGAAGCATATTTTTTTAAAACAATAATTTTAAATCTATAGATGATTCTATATATATAAATATTTATAGCTTTAAAAAGTAAAATAAAAGTAATTAAAATAATAACGAATTGATTCGGTTTGAAACTAAACCTATAGTAATAGAGATAAAGATTATAGAAATAATAATAATATTTATTTATTTGCCCAAAAGATTATAAAATCCAATTATAGGACAAAATTATAAAAAAGTGCAAACAAATAATTGTAAAAACCTAATTTAACAAAGTTTACAATAAAAATAAATAAATTATTCTAAACTAAAATTATTAATAATGTTATTTACGATGACACCCAAAGAATCAAAGTTAATATCACAGGTAGAATGTATTTTATTATGGTTATTGCACATTATAAAAGTTGGAGACATAAACATAATATTGGTTCTAGCAAAACCACTATTAAATGCCAATTGTTGGCGAGAATTTAGTCTGGGAACATAAACATTAATTAAAGATAATAATCAAAGCAAAGTCCACTCTATTTCTAAGTAAATTAAATAAAAATTTAATGGCAAATAAACCGTCTATCCCTTAAACCCAAAATTTAGTTTTTTGATAATAATACTATGATCAATGCGGTCAAACGCCTTTTCAAAATCAGTAGGTATATACAGGGTGATTCATTTTACTTAAAACTTTGAAATATCTCAGTTAGTATGCATTTTACGAAAAAATTTAAAATAAAAATTAAATTATTCGAGGGGGGAAATCAATCAGTACTAAAATTGGTCCTCATACTCTCCTCCTTATAGGGGGAACCAATGAAAAAAATAAATAAATTTAAAAAATAAATCAAGTATTTTATTCAAAAATTATTGGGGAATCGTATAGGTACAGAAGAAAAATCGAACAAAATTGATTTTTTTCATTACGGCGCCATCTATTACAAGTATGAAAAAATGTTTTAGACAAAATCTACCTATTTTTAGTCGAATGATCCGAATCTGCAATAAAAAATAGGGTATTCCATTGTAAATTTTACCCCCTGTTCCCCTTATAAGGAGGAGAATCATATAATTTTTATATCATCAATCTATCCAAATTGCGTGAAACAAAGTCAGAAAAACATACCAGATACGTAACTGTTGAACTTTTCTCGGTGAAGCCATTCTGAGATGGAGAAATCATGGCTCCACATAGAGAAACAGTTTTTATATTGTGAATGGGTTAACCATTGAGCCAATGGTGTACTGTATTTGCAGCTATGCATCATGATCAAATGAATGATTGTCTTACTTTTATTTGTGCAAACCTGCTTGAAAGTATATTATGTATCAAGTTTGATAAACGCCATTTTATACACGAATTTAATTTAGGCACGAGCGAGCTTGCGAGCGAGTTCTTAAATTAATGAGTGTATAGAAAAGTTTATAAACGAGGTGCATACTATACTTTTTCTACGACAAATACTTATTATTATCTTAAAATGATTTAAATCAAAAATTTGTATAGAGCGCCATTTATGAAACAACAGGGGAAACTGCCAAATGTCACATTTTTACATTTTATAAACACAATTATAAAGGTTATAAATCGAAATGTATATTGAAAATTGACAGTTTTTCACAGTGAAAGTAAAGGAAATGTTTTATGAGGACTTTACAGTAGAGTCCGTGCCCGAATTTAAGTTATAGTTTACTGCCGGCGAAATTAAAAGGTCAGTATAATTTTCATATAAACTTTTGAAATATTGGCGTTGAGAAACTATTTAATAATTTTCACATTTAGTATTATTTTACAAGAAAGGCACTTTATTTTAACGATTATATGACATTTGACAACTGTCAACTAACTTAAAACTAACTTCAGCCCGTGACTAAAAACCTGTTGCTAACTTCAGCCCGTGACTAAAGCGCCGTAAAGCCACAACTTGTCTATGTGTATTTAAAAGGCCACTTAGTGTCATGGAAACATGTACGATAAAGGGCGTTTTAAAGGTAGGAGTAGAAAAAATTAATTAGATTAAACATAAGAAGTCATTGAATTAAATTGTGATTCTATTAAATCCATATTAAAACACCACAACCATGACCTTTTATTGGATAAAATCAAGTAAAACCCTGCCCTTTTAATTAGATAAAATGCAGTACAACCCTCCCCTTTTAGTTAGATAAAATCAAGTAGAACCCTGCCCTTTTAATTAAATAAAATCAAGTACAAAATGTTTATAATTTAGAATCTAAATTATAATGCCAGATGGTTCAAACGTAAATTTACATCATTTCGATTATAAGCGTGGTTTATTAAACAACAGCCATCATGGCGGAATATATAGATCGATGACTCCAGGTCAATTTATCAAATATTTATCTTTACACAAGGCATTTGTGTAAACTAATTATACCAAATTGTTAGGGAATATTTATACTAGGATGATAATCTATAATTATTAAAATGTACAATCCTACAAATTTAAGACACTATTTCTTCACACACTGTTTGTTTGCTACACCCGTTTTTCTCGAATGATCTCCGTTCTTTCCTTCCCGTCTTGAATGCCATCTTCTATATCTAATATTAAAGTTAGTTTTTGTCCCAGATTTTTATTGGTACATTGGAGTGTTGTGGAATATTTTCCGGTGTTTCCGAAATAATGTTTCGTGCTTTTCTTTGGACAAAACATTGTTTTATTGATGATTTTGTATGAAAAACAGACAAATAATTCGACTTTTGATGCACTTTTTTTCAGTTTGCGGTAAGTATTAAAAATACAAACAAAACATAGATCAATTTATATTTTACTTGAGTAAAATATATATAAGGTTATGTTCGTATTATTCAAAATATGTAAAATATAAAGTATATAAAAACACTTTCATTCACAATTCTATTCTATCTATGTTTTTATAGTTTTGCATACGAATTTATAATTTCTCAGACTTG